ATCCGCGCACCACCCGCACATCCAGAAGGAAACGTGAAGAACCGCCACTTTATTTGCCAAGATATCTTAATAAATCATGGATAATAGCGAAAATGAATCTCTGGATAGCCATGATCGCTTACGTTCTGAAGTGACATTGCAGTAAAAATAAAAACTTCAGGGAAAACTTGTAGCTTTTCTGAAATCAAAACCGTAAAGAGATTCTAGCATTTCACAAAGAATGAACAAAAAGCCATGATCATTATTTGTCATAATTTCTCGGTTAGCGATTAATCACATAAAATAGATCCTGAACTGCAAAATATATATATATATATATATATATATATATATATATATATATATATATATATTTATATATATATATAATATGTAGTTGTGGACACGACTACATAGGTAGGACGTCCCAGCGTTTGGACTCGAGAATAATACATTTACCCTCCAGGATTTTGAATCCGTCCTCTAGGAATAGCCAATTGACTAATAGTTCTGGTTCTGCTCTTGCTGAACATTTAATAAATAGAAGGGAATGTGTGGAAAATTTTAGTGGTGACCGATTTATAATTTTATCTAGGTCCCACTCCACATTTCACCTCAAGGTGCTAGAGTCCTTGTATATCAGATCTCGTGAGCCTCCCCTTTGTAAACAGAAGGAATGCTTGCTGGGTCTGAATATTATTGGACTCTAGTCTCTTGAAATTCATATTTTTTTTTCTCTCTCTTCATTTAATTACATTCGTTAATTAAAATTAATTAACACGCTTTTAAATTCCCAGAATAAATAACTTGATAAGTCCTGGGACGAAACCGGTAGTTTTATTTCGGCTCTTGCTTTTAAAAATGCCTTCTTATTATCTTTTCCTATCTATTATTAAATTCTGTACCACGAAAAGTTTATATATATATATATAATATATATATATATATATATATATATATATATATATATAATTCCTCACAGCTATCACGACTTGGACTTTCATACACAACGCAATCTTGATGAATATGGACTGACCGTTACGTAATTTGAATATTAAAGAATATACCTGGTTATCGTAATGTTGGCGCAGTTATATATTATACTGGGATTACAGTTTTTTTTTAATTCTAAAAATTATATATGTAAAAAAATAAAATAAAAAAATATTTTTAAGTTGTGAATATTCATTTTTTTTAATTAAAGGGAGATTACTTGTTCTTATTTAAAAACAAAAAATAAACGATAATTTATATAAAAAATAAATGGTAATTTACATTAAAAAGTAATTTGGATCAACGTATTTAAGCAGATATTTATTTTTATGCCTACATATAACCATCAATTAATTTCTCTTAGGCTCGTATTATTTAAGTATTTTAAGATAACGAATTTTTCAACAAGACATAGGTTACATCTATTTCCTTTCCCGTTATAAGATTAGGCTTTTGCTATAATATCTCATGCGATAAAAATTGTATTACCATCATTCTTTAATTGCCAGAAATGTTTAGAGAGTGCAGTAGTGATTCTGTATTTTATATTACCTAAACTCATTCGATGATGGTTGAAACAAAATTTCCAAGGAATTTTAGTGGATACACACACACACACACACACACACACACACACACACACACACACATATATATATATCGTTTTAAAATATGCTATATTTATGGGATAAAGTGATCAATATCACGTACAGAGCGTATGTAAATATAAAAGTGGAAGTAAATATCCAATGTGACAGTCTGTTTAATACTAAAGCCAATCGTCGGGCCATGTTTGCGTTTAACATGAAACAAACTGTCGTCTCTAGTACTGACTTCAATGTCTACTTTTAAATTTATATATACGCAGGATGCATTAAAAATATTTTTACAAAATTGAGGCGGGTTCCTCACACGAAAACAAGATCGAATGTCCATATAAACATATGTCCAAAAGGCCGTCGTTGTGCCTCAACACAGCAACTCATAGCAAATGTTCTAAGTGTCACCCGCTTCCTTCTACACATGCAGCCACTCATTCAAATATTCTCACACGGTTTCGAATGCATTTGCACCCCCCATGATACGTAGATAACGTCCGCTGCGTAAACCAATTGCTTGATGTGCATCCATAGATAAAAATACAAAGGATTGAGTTCGGGGAAACGTGAAGGCCATGGAGCCAGCCCTCCCCTAGTTATACATCTTTCATAGTAGATCTCAGCCAAGGCATTGCAAACGATGTCACTAAAATATGCTTGGGCCCCATCATGCATGAACCACACGCGACTTCATATTAGCAGGAGTACATCCTCTATCATGTCTGGAATGTCGAAATAATGTCCCTGTAGACAGTTCCTGTAAGACGTACTGGGAGAACATATGAACCTATCAGACAGTCATCTACAATTCCAGTCCACATAATAACCGTAAACGGATGATTATGTCTAGCCTGTATTGTAGGATGAGGATAAAATGTTGGTTGTGTAAATTTGTTGTTCCATCTCTTCCAAATGTTGTATCAAACAAGACTGAAGAGACAAACAACAGATCGGCACTTTGTGCGATAAACCATCGGCAAAGGTTCTCCTACGGTGTGTGACCAGAAAGCGAAAGACTCTGCACACGTTGTACATGATACGAATACAGGAGTTGCTCTTGAAGTACCCCCCATAGGGTACTATGAGATGTACGATATGGTAGGGCCACTTGACGTGAACTAATACCTGGATCGTCTCCGACAGCCTGTAGAATGTGTTCTTCGTAGTCAGGGCTACGAGCGGATCTTACTCTTCTTCGGTGCATAGTTTGTGGTGCTACGGATCCTGTCTCAGCAACGTGACAATAAACTTCGTTCTGGAAACGCAATCTGATACAGCCATACTGCCTCGCGTCCATTACCATTCGCGCGGCCGTATGTAAAAATCATATCTGTCTGTTCACGATATGAATATCCTGCACACCTCTCAGTTAACTCACTATTACACATGTTAAACGTTGAAGACAGACTAGCCACAAATGTACACGAATGACAAATGTAGCCTAGTATGCATGGCAACACAGCGCCATCTACCGTAAAATTTCTTTAAACTTAATAACTCGAAAAAGAATAATTTGCGAACATATGTTTATATGTACTTTTGTCCTTGTTTTGGTGTGATCAATGCGACCCCAAATTTTTAAAAAGTATCTTTGATACGTCCTATATACATATATATATATATATATATATATATATATATATATATATATATATATATAATGTAAGTAAAATATATATAATGTGAGTAAAAGTTTGTCACTTAGTTGATTAATGTTACTTTCCCGTCCGTCCACTCTACAGTGGATGTCAGCAATGTACTGCTTATATTTTTTCGACTTTTTTTTATGGACATTTAACATTGGTGTAAGTTTTCTTAGTTATTCACTAGTTAAATCTTAACCTCTTTAGTTGTGTTTCCTGCATATCCCCAAGTATTTGCTTACGCTCATACGACACCACACAGTAAACCTCTACATTGAGTGGCTCTTGGGTCTTGTATTGGGTGAATAATAGTAAAATAAAAAATCTGATTAGAATGACTAAACCGGTTCATGAAATAATAAAATATATATTTTCCTTTATGTCAAACTGTTCACTTTCAAATCATACTGACATGATAATAACTGTATTTAATTAGAAAATATTAATTAGTAACTAATAGTTACAATATCCTGTCCAACTAAGACATAATAATTTGACTTATTTTTAAAACAGCTCTTGCTAGAAGTGTACCTATTATGTGAGCAACGACGAAGTTTTAGAGAAAATGGAAAGAAAAGGAAGTTGTGGAGAGACACTATCGCCTATGTCTTGAAGGGACATGGCACATGAAGAAGTTAGAGAAAAAGGAAACAAAAAGGAAACTTATACTTAACATCAGGAAGAGACAATTAAAATACATAATAAGGAAAGAGGGTTTGGAAAATCTGATACTCACAGGACAGATTGAAGGCAAGAGGGACAAAGGAAAACACCACATAACTTATTTAGTGAGCTTGAGTAAAATGGATGACTGAGCAGGGTTTAGGAGACATGAAAAAGACAAAATTTATTAAGGATAGGAACAATTCTTCTTTAAATGCCATCTCCCTTCAGAACGTAGGCGATCATGGCCCTCCACTACTTCCTTTTTTTCTTTTCTCTAACTGCTTCTTTATATGGCGTGTCCCTTCAGAACGTAAGCGATTATGGTCCTCCACAACTTCCTTTTTCTTTCCATTTCTCTAACTTTGTTATGTGGCGTGCCCCTTCAGAACATAGGCGATCATGGCCCTCCACAACTTCCCTTTTCTTTCCATTCTCTAACTTCTTTATATACCCTGTCTATATACATCAAAACAATGTTGGGTAACAGAAAAACAAAGCGGATTTATTTTTTATTTTAAAAGACCTTTTATATGCCATCTCCCTTCAGAACGTCGTGATCATGACCCTCCACATCTTCTTATCCCTTGTAACTCTTAATAAGTTATTTCTCCGAAACCCTGTTCTACCCCTCATTCACACAAACCCATCAAATATGTCACGCGCTACTTTCTTCTCTCTTTCTCCCTCTTTTCCCTGTGAGAATCAAATTTTCCAAGCTCTCCTTCCTCATGACGTGCTCTGTCTCTTCCTGATGTTTTCATTTTCTCCAGAAATCACGTTGCTGCTCACATGTACGGTCCATGGTATCCTCAGCATCCTTCTGTAGAACCACATTTCTGTTGCTTCCAGTTTCCTATCTTTGAGGAGACAATCCAGAATTTGCAGGAGGATAGATATCACATAACCGTTCAGTACTCTTTTATTTGTTTCTAACGAAGTTTTCGTATATATTCTTAAAATAAAATAGTTTGCCATTGCTTCTTTCTTAAAAACTGTGGAGAATTTCTCCAGAGTTGATTTCAAGAACGTGTCAAAGAAAAACTTGAATAAAGAAGCGAATAAAATTCCAACTTAAAAATCTGGAGAAATAAATATTTCGGGCTTGGTAACTGCACTTTTTATGACAAAGAAATTACGTGAACAAACATACTCTTTTGAGACAGAGGGCGGTGGTCTTTCTTCAAATTCCACTGTTGCAAACAGACACTCTCATCACATCCCTAGGGTGTAGGAGATAAAAAGAATCGAAAGAGAAGGCCTGACAATCAGTCTATTTATACCTGTCTAATGCAACACCATATGTCTTTTCAGTGTTGCCTCTAAGACAAGATCATATCCACCATTCTATTTTTATTTATGTGTTCGGCGATGGGTGCCTTGTATTTCCGATGCCAACGCCACCAATTCAAAATGGATGACTGACGTGGCATTTTTTTTTTTTTTTTTTTTTACCCCAGTTCTCAACCTGAAGCATTCTTGGGTGCGGCAACCGACTCGATTCAACCCAACTTTTTTTCTTTTTCTTTCTTTTTAGATCGATTTTCTTTTCTTTCTTTTCTTTTCTTTTCTTTCTTTCTTTCTTTCTTTCTTTCTTTCTGTTTTCATTCATTCTTTCTTTCTTTTGTTCAGCCGTTAGTTCTTTCGTTCGTCTTTCTTTCTTTCATACCTTTCGTTCATCTTTCTTTCATTCCTTTTTCGATCTTTCTTTCGTTTTTCCTTTTGGTTTTTATTCATTCTTTCTTCCGTTCATTCATTTGTTCGTTCGTCTTTCTTTTCCTTCCTACCTACCCATCTTTCTTTCTTTCTTTCTTTCTTTCTTTCTTTCTTTCTTTCTTTCTTTCCCTTGTTCGTTCTTTCCGTTCGTTCATTCATCCGTTCGTTCTTCCTTTCAGTTTTCATTCATTCTTTCGTTCGTTCTTTCGTTTCTCCTTTCTTCCCCACCTCCTACCTTTCTTTCACGCGTTCTTTTTTTTGTTCTTTCGTTTGTTCTTCCTTTCATTTTTCATTCATTCTTTCTTTCGCTCGTTCCTGCGTTCGTTCTAGATTTCTTCTTTTCGTTCGTTTGTCCGTTCTTTCGTTCATCCTTTATTCATTGCTTCATTGTTCTCTTTCTTTCGTTCGTTCTTTTTTCACGTTTTTGTTCTGTCTTCTCTTCGCTTTTCATTCATTCTTTCGTTTATTCGTTAGTTCATCCAGCCGTCCTTTCGTTCGTTCTTTCGTTCCTACTTTTCTTTCTTTCTTTCTTTCTTTCTTTCTTTCTTTCTTTCTTTCTTTTCGGTTCTCTCTTTCACTTTTCAGTCATTCGTTCTTTCTTTTGTTAACTCGTTCGATCGTTTGTCCGTTTGCTTGTTCTTTCTTTCTTTCGTTTTTCTTTCCACTGCTATTTCCTTTTCTTCATTCTATCTTTTTCTTTCACTTTTTCTTTTCTTCTTTCTTTATTACATTCTTTTTCATTTTCGTTATCTTCTTTCTTTTTTTCTTTTATCCTTCAAATATATTTATTGTTTTTTCCTCCCTTTCATTCCCAGCGACATATTTACAGTGTTTTAATAGACTATTTGTCGCCCTATTCTTTCTTTTCTCCTTCATTTTTTCTTTTCTTGCTGCATTTTATAGCGTTCTTTTTATAGCCTATTTTTCTATGGCGTTCTTCTCCCTTCTTTTCTCTTTTACTTTTCTCTCTTTCTTTCATAACCACATATTTTCTGACTTCTTGATTTTGATTTCTTGCAGAATATTTATTGCCTTCTTATTTTCTCTGTTTCCATTTATATTTGTCTTCATCTTTTCTTTCTCTTCTTTCTTTCTTTCTAAGCAGCATTTTATTGCGTTTTTCTTTTTCTTCCTTTCCTTTTTTCCTTCCTTCTTTGTTTTCTTTCTTTATATATTTTACTCTTTCTTTCGCTCTTTCTTTCTTTGGTTATTGCCTGCATTCTTTTTACGCTGTTTTTTTTTCCTTTTTCTCCTTTCCTTTTTTCTTTCTTTATTTCTTTACTTCTTATTCGTCTTCTTTCTTTCTTTCTTTCTTTCTTATTCGTCTTTTTTCTTTCTTTCTTTCTTTCTTTACTTCTTATTCGTCTTCTTTCTTTCTTTCTTTCTTTACTTCTTATTCGTCTTCTTTCTAAGCTACATTTTATTGCGTTTTTTTTTCTTTTTCTTCAATTCCTTCTTATCTTCTTTCTTTGTTTTCTTTCTTTATTTATTTTACTCTTTCTTTCGCTCTTTCTTTCTTTGGCTATTGCCTATATTCTTATTGCGTTGTTTTTTCTTTCTTTCTTTCCGCTTTTCTTTAGATCTTTGCTTTTTTCTTTCGTTATTCCTTTATTTATTTGCTTCTTCTTTGTTTGTTTGTTTCTTTTTTTCTTCTCTTTTCGTTCTTCCTTTCGATTTTTATTCATTCTTTCTTTCGGTCGTTCGTTTATCCGTTCGTCATTCTTTCCTTCCTACATTTAGTTCCTTCTTTTATGCGTTCTGTCTTTCTTTCATTCTTTCCTTCTTTCTGTCTTTTGTAGGGTCAATCTACCCGGATTAAAAGTGATAAATTTATATCCGAATGTAGTGCCCCAAAATACAATATAACGTAAAGAAATGATTTTTGAAAACAGGCAAAAATGAAAACCAGATTGAAATAATCATATATATTTATATACACATTAACATTTGTTTTTACATTGTAAATATTGTGTTTGTTCTGGTTGTAAAAAATCAAAAATTCAAAAGTTGAAATGTTTGACAATATTTTACATTTGTTAAAGGGTAGTTCGTAAAGCTATATGCCTTGGTCAATATAAAGTGTGTATATATATATATGCGTATGTCTGAAGCACATTTTAATAGTGTAAACGTGGCTACTGACTGAATATGTGTGTGGGGGGGAGCACGTTAGTAGAAATGTAAGTGTATGTAAGTGCTAATACAGTGTAACCCGGATATAAGAGAGTTGTCGGGACCGGAGAAGAATTCTCTTATATCCGGGTTTCTCTTATATCCGGGTTTGGTCTATTTTATATACATTAACACAGGCTCTAATTTGGGACCAGAGAAAATATCCCTTATATCCGGGTTTCTCTTATATCCGGGTTACACTGTATGTGAAATCTGATTATGGTGGTTCCAAAAAGAAATGGACATACAGATAGGTGATCAGACTTACTTTTTTCCACGGCTATGAATATTTCTTTGAGTTGTGTGAATACTTCTTTGAATGGTGTGTAGTCGTCACTGACTGAGAAGTTGTTGTATAACGAGAAAATTCTGATCAAGTGTTTACAGATCCGACCGCCTGTCATCGATGGGTGGTCCACCTCCAGTTGCTGACTGGGTCTTTGCTGCGTGTGTGTGTGTGTGTGTTTTTTTTTTATCCCGATCACATGATTGGCCCCAAACGAAAGACTTTCGCTTTACGCGAGAGAGCCCACAACGACCTATCCTTTCTCTCTTCATTCTTTTTCGTTCTTATATCTGTTTTCCCTTTTAGTTTTCATTCATTCTTTCTTTTGTTCGTTCGTTCTTTCGTCCGTCTTTTTTTCCTTTAGTTCTTGATTTTATTCTTTCTTTCATTCATTCTTTTTCTTTTTTCGATTTTTCATTCATTTTTTCCCTTTCAGTTTTCATTCATTCTTTCTTTTTTTTCGTTCGTTCATCCATTCGTTCGTTCATCTTTCTTTCCTTCCTACCTTTCATTCGTTGGTTCTTTCCTTCTTTCTTCATTCTTTTTTCGTTCTTTCTTTCGTTCTTACTTTCAGTTTGCATTCTTTCTTTCATTCTTCATTTTTTCCTTCTTCCTTTCAGTTTTCATTCCTTCTTTCTATCGTTCGTTCCTTCATCCGTTCGTTCTTTCGTCTTTACACGCTTTTTACTTTGATTTTTTCGATTATTTTTATTACATTATTCTTTTGTTTATTTCCTTCTCAATATTTTCTTTCCTTTGCCATGTATTTTCAACATCGATCTGTTAATAAATATGTTATTAAGTAAAACAAATGACTTGAAGGATAAAATTTGACACTTATACTCAAAAATGAATAACGGTTGACAACGTATAACAATTCCAGACAATATAGCTGCGACTAAAATGTCTATCTGGAATAAATGTGCTAGAAATATAATACAGAAGAATTGTTTACAACGCTTCATTTAATAATTATCAAATTTACACTAATGTTGTATTTCGCCTTTATGAATTCGATATTTCTTTCCAAACAACCGAATACATGAAGGACATTTTTCAAATATTATTATTATTATTATTATTATTATCATTATTATTAATAATAATAATAATAACAGGATTCACCATGAAATATATCCATAAAATGCATGAATCTTGAAACATCTTTTCTTTATTTTACGTAATTCAAATAGAAAGCTTTTTCATATCAAAGACTGTATTAAACTTTTGAAATTACAACGCTGAAATGTCTATTATAGAAATATGTGATTATGTTTTATTATATTGTGTACCCCTTCTGTGTTTCATTATTATTATTATTATTATTTTCTTTGATTTCTGGCGTTTACACATTTCTTTCCGGGTCCCGCCCAGGGACCTAAGGGTTGAAATGGCGTCATGACACTTTCCACTGACAAAAAAAAAAAAAAACATTACATAGATAAAGCCCTTCGTAAGGTGTGGGCTGTACTTGTCAGAACAATTTTTTGTATCTCCTTGAGGCATGGACTTCCAGGAATCCCTTCAATTAGTCTACTGCAATCTTTTCCAACCAGTCCTAGGGCTCCAACTAAAACAGGGATTGTTGATGTTCCCATATGCCACATTTTCGAGATTTCTATTTCAAGGTCCTTGTATTTTGACAGCTTTTTGAATATCCTCAAAGATACATTGCAGTCAGCAGGGACTGCCATATCAATAAGGAAGCGCCGTTTTTGTTTATGATCTCTAATAACAATATCTGGGCGGTTGGCTTTGATTGTTCTGTCAGTGTGTATTGTGTAGTCCCATAGAATTGTAACAGATCCTTATCTCCGTAACCGGGTCTGGGTGGTGTTCATACCAGTTTCTTTCAGTTTCCTTCCCGTAGAAGTTGTAGATTTTCCAGTGCAGATATTGGCCCACTCTCTCATGTCGGGTTTTATATTCAGTGGGTGCCAACATCGTGCAACCTGATACAAGATGATCAATCGTTTCTGGATATTTATCAGATAATCTGCATTTTGGGCTGACACAATATTTTAGTATATGTGCTTGATAATTCCTAGTTAGCAAGCATTGGTCCTGCGCAGCAACGATAAAACCTTCAGTTTCTGCTTTCAACCCTGCACTACGTAGCCACTGATGGGCACGTGTTTTGTCTACGTCAGCTTGTTTGGTACGGGCAGAGTATTGGCCATGAAGCGGTTTATCTTGCCATCGCTTCTGTATCTGGTCGGTTATTATTATTATTATTATTATTATTATTATTTCCTTTGTGTTAGTGGGTACTAACTTCTTTTTTTGCCTATAAAGGACGATAACTCAAAATACAATTAGGTTATTTCCCTTGTGCACTAGTCAGCGCTGGCACTTCTGAATTCAACATGGTGACAAGCGTTGAACTCATGGTTTAAATCCAAGCTAATCCTCGCTGTTCTCAATCAGTAAATGAATAAAAGTTATTTTATTATGTGTTAATATACACTTGTCTTTTATTTTCCATTCATCATTTTTGTAAAAAGGACACTTAAAAAAAGATCACGCTCATTTGACATAAATAAATGATTAAGTTCTTTATAATGTGTGAGCTGGACTTGTGACTGCAATTTTTTGTATTTCTTTAAAGCTGGGACTACCAGAATTCCCTTCAATGAGTTTATCGGAATCTTTTTCCAATCAAACCGAAGGTTCCAACTGGAATTATCTGATGTCCTCATCTGCTACATTTGTTTTTGATTCCCACTTCAAGATCCTTGTATTTTGATAGTTTTGTGAAGATCTTCAAAGATACATTACAATCTGCAGGAACTGCCATTTCAATAACAAAGCACATTCTGTTTTTGTGTTCTTTGATCCCGATGTCTGGGTGATTAGCTTTGATTGTGTGTGTATTGTAAAATCCCATAAAATTGTAACAAATCCTATCACTGTAACCGGGTTTGGGTAATGTTCATACCAATTTTTCTTGTAGTTTCCTTTCCATAAAAGTTGCAGAATTTCCAGTGCCGATATTGACCCGCTCTGTTGGGCTGAGTTTTATATTTATGAACACCTTCGAAACCTGATACAAGATGGTCAATTATTTCTGAATATTTATCACAGAATCTGCATTTCGGGTTAACACAATTTTTCACTATGTATAATTGGTAGTTTCTAGTAAGCAAGCATTGGCCTGTGCAGCAAGAATTCGCTTTCAGCGTTTAACCCTACACTACGTAACCTCTGAAAGGTATGGAGTTTGTCTACATCCGTCTTTTTGGCCGGGGCAGAGTATTTGTTTTTGAATTTGGTACATTTCATTTGCTTTCTTTTTTAGCTTATTTGCCGCTGCTGTAGGTTTATTTACACTTTTTTATCCACTTGAAATTCCCTTTCGAATTTATTGGTTTCCTTTATTACTGAAAAAAGTTTCTTATTTTTTTCTTCTTCTTTGAAACAGATCATCATCCGATTTTCTGTAGTTTCCAGGTATCTTTGAAAAACGATTTCTGTGGTTTTGTAAGACAGTTCTAGTTGAACTAATCCTCTGCCTCTTTTGGATCTGGATCCATACAGACGTAAAACATCAGCCTTAGGATGATGCATGCGGAGGCAGGTGAGAAGCTGTCTCGTTTTGACATTAATATCAGTTATGGTCCAATTAAGGATATTGAAACTGTATCGCTCCATAGAAACAGCCAAAAGGTTTATGGCTGACATTTTGTTTTGTGAATTCCACTCGGTATTTCCCACCAGCCGAACAGGCCTCTACTAAACTTTTCTTATTTTCTCCTTCATTTGGGTTTGTTGTATTCTATCTCAATCATTACCTTCTACGTATTTATAGGCTTCTTCTTGTTCCACTTTTCTAATCTTTGTGACAAAATCTCGATCTATTGTGTTTCTGTGATTCTCCCTTTCTTAAACTTTTGCACATTTATCTAATCCGAAATCCATACCTATGTTGTCACTGAAACATGTTACAGTACTGAGAAGATCCTTCAACTCATTTTCGTCTACGGCAAAGATTTTAATATCCATGTAGAATAGGTAATTAAACACTTTCTTTTCTACTTTTATTATTATTATTATTATTTTATTTCTTTTGATTTTTGGTGTATATTCACTTCTTTCCGGGTCCCAACTCAAATCCTAAGGTTAGAAATGGTATCATGACCTGTTCCACTGAGCATTTTTCGAGAGAATAAAAAACTAAAACATTTTTTGTATTTCTTTAAGGCATGGACTACCAGGAATCCCTCCAATGAGTCTATCGCAACCTTTTCTAATCAATTCGTGGGCTTCAACTAAAACTGGAATTGTTGATGTCCTCATGTGCCACATTTTTGAGATTTCGATTTCAAGATCCTTGTATTTTGA